TGTTTCCTGTTCATCGCTCCACCTCTGAACGGCTCCATCCTTGGCCAGAGTCCTCACTACCTGTTCTCGTCTCCCCTCTGCATTCACTCCCAGAGGCCTTGAGCACCAGCTGTGTACGTGATTCCAGACATGAGTCGCCAGCCCCATAAACACAGCAGTCTGTGCTGCTGATGCCTCAAAACTCGCACTGTAGGAGCTTCTAGATATTTCCAGCTGTTCCTGCATCAAGATCCACACTGAGCTGAAGCCCCTGGTCCGACTGTCTTTCCCCACCTCAAATGGCAAATCCAGTCTTCCAGCTGCTCAAGTCAAAAACTTAAAATCATCCTGACTCTTTATCAGGGGCCACCAGAGCTATTCAGCACCCTTGGGTGAATTAGAAAAGGACGCCCCCTAGATGCAAGCTATGTGTGGTTTGGCATGGACACAGCCTTCTCCCCTTCGGGCTTGGACTCGGCACCCGCCAGGGCCGGTTCAAGGGGAGCCCGTGGTGAATTCCAGCAGCACCCACACCCAGCTCAGTGGTTCTCTGCCTGACCACACGCACCTTGGCAATGTGTCCCGGGTGGCAGCCCTCCCAGGCTGTTCCAGTTAAAAGACAATTGTACTTCCTGCTGCTTGGCGCTCGTTTCCTGCCTGCTTTCCAAATCTGGTCCTGCCTCCCCCTGGCAGTTCCTGGTGGCCTTTCAATAAATTCTTTCGCTACTTCAGAACACCAGGAACTCTGACTGATACTATCTAGAAACTTGTACAAATCCTCCCACTCTTAAAATGAGAAAAACCCATTTCTCCACCCTCTCTGGAGGTGCTCTGGAGAAGCCCACCAATGCCGTCCCTGTCACTGAATCTAAAGGTCACCTGGGCCAGCTCTACTTGGCCCTGACCTGGTTTCTCCTCCCAGCCTTGCCCTCCCCATGCCTGGCGCTCCCTTCTCTCCCCTTCTAGAAGTGTCTCCAGTACCAACCCAGGGCTCCAGCCTCAGCTTTGTGCCCGGCTCATCCCATGTGCTCCCCAGGCCACCGTCACACCCACAGTGTGGCCCCTACCTGCCCCTCTGCCCTAGATTCCTCTATTGGAAACCTCCATCTAACCCAGCACACTCACCGGGCCCACCAGCTCTGGCCTCCCGCTCCGCCCCATGACCCCACCTGCCCACCCAGTCTCCTAAGCTCGAAACTCAGGACCCACCACACAGCTCTGCCTCCCCTGCCACTCAGTCCCTCTCACCTAAGTGATTATGAAATCACTTTTTTCTCTTGAAACGTCTCTGCAAGCCACCCCCTCCTTTCCAGCTCCATACCTCAGCCTCAACCTCCAGACCATCCTGAACTATTCCAACACTCCCACGAATGACTCCCCACTGCCCACACCTAGGCACCCCAACACCTTCCTCCACCACAATAGAGTCAAACTGAGCCTCCTGGACTCAGGCTGACCATGCTGAACCCCTGAACATATCCTACGGTTTGCCCACTGGTGACAGACAACAAGGTCCCCTTCTCCCTCTTGCCTAACTTTTTCACATGGATCCTGGAGTCCCATCCCACAATCCCTGCAACAGAACGTCCAGGAAAAAAGTTAGGACTAATCACTGTCCTCAGGCATGGCTAGGCACATCCGGGTAACCTGGGCCCAGTGATTCCCAAATTGCTTCAGTACTTAAAGATGAATTTCAGAGCTCTCCCTGGTGGTGCAACAGGTTAGGACGCAGCACTGCAAGCTGGCCACCGCCACTTCAGTGCACGTTTGATCCCCAGCCCCGGAGGTGACCCCATGGCGCAGCAGACCTCTCCTGACCCGCCCTCTGCTCCCCTCAGCAGTGTACCTTGTCGATCTGCCTGTTCTGCTCCCCATTCTTTTTCTGGTGAATCCTCTCCCTGCCCCTGCACCTCTGGCTTGTACCCCAGTTCAAAAAAAAAAGAATTCCAGTTCCACTCCCTTGGCAATTCTGTGGATGGTGAACGCAGGAGATTGTTTCCAAGTTCTTCACCACCAGGTGGGAAACTACTACTCTATGTTTGGGGCCATGTGAAGTTAGAGCCATTTGCGCCTCAGCTTCTGGCTGGTACTTCTCATGACCCCAAAATCTCCGGGGCTGTCGCACCTCAGCAGATGCGCTCAATTCCCCTGCTTAGTGACTCTGTTCTACACATAGGTCACATGGATGGCTGCTGGATCTTTGGCTCCGCTCAGCTCAGGTGAAGAGTCTGCGCTTCCCCTTCTCTCCCCCGTCAGGCACTCCCTCTGGCCTCCATGAGGTCATGCTCACTGCTGCCCCCTGTCCACCGTTATCTCAGACTGCAATGACCGCACCTGCTCCCGCTGCCAACCTTGAAGCCCAGTACAGGGGCTTAATCCAGTTTATACCCCCAGCACACAGCACAAACTGGTACCAGAAAATGTAGAAGTACCGAAGACCAAAAGCAATGTCAGCCCTCTCCTACCTTCAGGGCTGTTAATGGGCCAGGGACCTTGGGGAAAGACCGGCCCGCGGACAAGACACAGCTCTCAGGCCAGAGTCCGAACGGCAGTGCCATTGCAGAGGCCAGGGTGAAGGTGGGAGGTTAGGGCTGCTTTTACTTCTCTGGGCCCTCAGCTTTTGTAGTCAAAATCCCCAAATGTCTATCACCATGATTTTAAGAGCCAAAAACTGAGTCTTAATAAGTGGTTGATCCCTTTGAAAACCTTAAGAGGGAGTCCCTCTCCAAAGCTTGGAATTTCAAGCGTTTGGGCCTTTGGAGACTGGAAATCCCAGAGGCTGAGCTTGTCCACCCTGAGTCCAGAAAGGGAGGGCAGCACCAGCAAGGGGCAGTCGTTCAGAAACCTTGTGCTGAGTGAACGTGCTGCTGCAGCAGATTCCTGCCTGAGGAGCCCTCCCTGCCCAGCCCCGCTCTCAACTGGCTGTCTCACCCTGGCAGGCCATTCTCAGCTCTTCCCTCCTCTTCGCTCCTCTCCTCCCAGAGGTCAAGCGCCACCAGGATCCCATACGGGTGGAAATTTCATTTTCATTAAAGAAATTTTTCGTTTCCTGTTTTAAAGGCAAATCAGGGGGAGTTACCATTTATGAGTACAGCGTCCGTCTGATGTGGTGAGAAAGGTCTGGAGGTGAGTGGTGGGATGGCTGCCTGACATGCACGGGCCCACAGCCCCTCACACCTGAGCGCCCCACACACCTGAGCACGGCTAACATGGTATGCGTCGCGTATTTTTTCCGAGTTTTTTTTTTAAAGATAAAATCCACAGTGAACTGGAAACACACCTTGGTGAGGAGGCTCCATCTGAGGCTGCACCTGAGGCAAATGGGGACCAGAGGGGAGGCTGAGAGGCAGGGGAAGAAGATGGGGATAGCGATCCCAGACCCTAGGAAGGTGCCCCAAGGAGGGTAGGGTAGGGAGCCTCAGGAGCAGAGCCAGCAGGGGAGAGGGGCCAGTGGGGCAGCTGGTGTGTTTTCTCAAGAGCTGCACTCCAAGCCCTATGCAAAGAGCCCTCCCTAGCCCTGGGCAGTTGCAAGTCCAAACAAGTGAGCGGAGGACAGGGCCTTCCTTTGAGGTACCTGATCTCTGGAACTCGCCCTTCCACCAAGAAGCCCTAGGGACACAGGTCTAACCCCTGCCCCACCCCAGGGAGGCAGGGTCTCAGGAGACCCACCTAAAAGCACTAACTCCCTATTATCCAATGAACCTGCAAAATAAATGCAGGAGTCAAAGGCCTGCCACTAGCCTGCCACTCGCCATGGTCGCCACCTGGTAGCCATGCTAGGCTGAAGTGGCAGCAATTGTCCAAACCAGTCTCCCTGCCAGTCAGACTGAGCCTGTTCACGTCCAAGTCAGGCGCCTGCTCAAATCCCACAGCTGCCAGCCCCCTCAGCCCTTTGCCCTCAGTGTCCAGGATGCCTGGGACTTAATCATAGGCCCCTGAAAAGGGCCACCTGATCGGATGTCTCAGGGGACTTCAGAGTATCTGGGGATGGTCTAGTAAGATTTCTAGTAAAAGCTTTGAGACACGCAACCTCGGGAGGAATGGAGACTAAAGGTGGTAGCTGACTTCAGGGAGGGAAAGAGGACTCAAGGGCAGCTTAAACCCCAAAAAAAACTGGACAAAGGTTCAGGGGCGTTCCCTGTTGGCCAGGCTGGGCCTTTGAACGGAAGGAGGCAGTGCCCAGAACTCAGGGTGCAGAACCCTTAGATCCTGCCCCAGGCGGTATCCTTGGCAGATTCTGAGCTTCCCAGGCTCTGAGTCACCCTAGGAGTTCGCCGCCAAGAGCAGCTGTCTACCCGAGGGAGGACGGTCTCATGCGTGCTGCACCCTCCCGGTATACCCTCACTACCCTCACGGGGCGCAGCCTGCCATGTGACCCCTGTGACCCGCCCGGCCCACGCCTAGCCAGGCAGACTCTGGACAAACCCTGCCCCTCCAGGAAGACAGGCTCCCTCCCTCTGTCAGGACTAACTCAGGTGTCCCGAAACTTTCCTCCTTCACTTTTTCCTCTTTGAACCCTCACCACGCCCCTCTGGAGACTTTTACTCTCTCCTCACTAGAATGATAAGCCCCAAGGAGACAAAGGGGAATTTTGCACTTTGCTCCCTCCTGTCACCCCAGGACCTAGCACAGTTCCTGGACTTGCTGAGTGTTCAGTAAATTCTCCTTGAATAAATGACCTCTATGTATCCTCTAGAAGGACCTGTAGAAAGCACGCTATCCCCTCCCACTCTCTGTCCCTGAAAGGTCAAGCCTAAAAAACAAAACAGGCCAACAAGTGGTCAATGCTCCCTGCCCCAGGAAACAAGGACAGAGCCAGCAAGCCCCAGCCCTCCAGAAGAATGCCTGCCCAGCCTGGGGGGTGGGGGGGCACGACCCTGGGCCCAGCCCTGCCACTGCCTTGCTTTTAGGACCTGGGAAGGCCCCTTTCTCTCTGGCTTGGAGCAGGTGATGGCGGGGTGAAGGGAAGAGACATCCTACAACAGAGGAGTGGAAGGAAGACGAGACAGGGGTTACTTTTATTTAATGCCAAAAAAAAAAAAAAACCCATTTGAAGGGTTTATCTTTAATGTATAATAAAAAATTAAAAAAGGAGAGGAAGAACCCAGCACCCTAAAGCCCGGGGAGAGAGAGGGGCTTCCGGGTCAGGCCTGGTAGGGGAAATGCAGCAGCAGCCCCTCATTAGGGGCCAGCGTCAGGCTCTCCAGATCCACAGAGGAGCTCTCCTTCCGGCCAGAATTTGTGCTGAGCACCAGTGTGACCTCGGCTGGCAGGCTGATACCTGCAGGTAGGTTAGCGGAACTCAAGCTGGTACGCTGGTCCACATCCCCAACGTTGAGCAAGACCAAGAAGCGTGTGTTCTGGTCCCACTGGCGGATGTAGGAGAAGATGTTGGGCCCCAAGGAGAGCTGGTGGAATTCCCCGTGCAGCAGCGAGCGCTCCTTGCTCCGCTGATCACTCAGCTTCCGGAAGAAGGAAAGGAGGGAGCCTGGGTCTTTGCTCTGTTCCTGCAAATGATGAAGAGAGAGGATAGAATGAAGCATGGCCCAGGAGCAGGTTCCCAAAGCCACGGCCCCGCGGAGGGCCTGCCCACTGTAGCCTCACCGTCACAGAACTCAGGTTGGTGCTTCCAGAGCCAGACGTGCTAGGATCACTGGATTCACCCCATGGCATGACTGGGGCCTTCTTTGGCTGCAAAGCAGAGAAAACTGGACTTGATCAAGGCCCTGGATTTGGCCAAGGCCTGGGCTTGCTCTCCTTGACCCTTCGCTCGTGCCTCCAGGTTGCACAGCCCCCACAGCACCACCCAAGCCTAACTTCCGCAGTAAGGCAGCCCCCACCGCAGGTCCCTCCAGCCTGGAGGGCTCATTTCCCAGACAGTCACAGGCCAGGCCCCTTCCGCCCCACCCTCCGGGCTCTGCTCAGCCCACCCCAGCATTCTGTGGTGGCTCACTGTAAGACGCCCCTATTCCCTAAGCCCCTGCTATCCTGGGGACAGCCCTTCTCAGGCCCTGAGATCTCTGGTCTATCTATAGGCTTATTGTCCAGTGTCACTCCCTCCAGCTCCTTTGTGAGTGTACGTCTCTTCCGGGCTTCTAGAGGAATGAAAACCTCAGGGAACCCATGAATGGCTGGCTCGACAGATATGGGCACAGGTGCTGCCCTTCAGTCCTGTGACTAAAGCTGAGCAAGCACCTTCACGGTGTCCCCATTACAACTTGCTGCTGGGCAAGTTTCTGCTTACTCAGCAGGCGCCCTCACTTGACTAAGTCCCTGGAGGGCACAGAGTCACCTCTGTCCCCTCAGTCAGAGAGCTATGGCGGCCACACTTACCAGGCACTGGTCACTGCTTTAAAAAACACATCCTCACGTAACCCTAACAACCCTACCATAAATGCAGCATCAAGGGAGGTGATCAGGACTCGAGGGAAAAAAGCCTGCCCAGGCCACACAGCCGTGGACAAAGACAGCTGCACCCAAGACCCGTGTGTACCTGCCACCACTCTCCCCACATTGTGCTGGGGGCAGTAGTCATACCTGTCCAGTAGCTGCCTGCAGGCCAATCTCATCCCCATAGTTGAAAACTGGGGTCCCCGGCAAGGTAAAGAACAGCAGGTGGTAGAGTTGGAGGAGCGGAGAAGACACGGTGGCAGTCATGAGTCCCTCCTGAGAAACCTGCAGGAACGCACACACAGGTAAGCCCCAAAGTACACCTCTGCCCCCCTCTCCCTAAAACCCTACATCCCAAAAGCTACCCTTCCTTCCCCCACCTAGGTACTCACAGTCCAGCTGCACCAGCCATCACCAATGGCGTCCAAATACTGAATGATCAGGGAACTGGTACTCCTCATGTTCTCAAAGGCTGACAGGTACGAGCTCGTCAACAGCCCAGTGGATTGAGACAGCTCCTGGATCACACTCAGGTTGGCGGAGCCCGTCCCTGCAATCAAGAGCCTGCACAGAGCCAAGAAGGGGTCAAAGTAGGCAGAGACCAAGGAAAGAAGGGTGGCGGCAAAGAAGGCTTTTTGGACAATGCAGAAGTCCCTGGCTTGGGCCTAGGACTCAGAGGGGTTCATACAGTATGGTGGGGAGGGGCCTGGTACCCACCTATCTTCATTGAAGCTCTTGGTGATGTTCTGCCACTCGGCCAAGAGCGAAGGTCCATTCTAGAAGAGAAAAGAGCGGAGTGAAGGAGCGAGGACACCATGAGGTCCTGCCAAGTCCTGTCCTCGTACAGCCTCTCCACTCACACGGCTGGGCACGTACCATCAGACTCTCCATGTTCCGAAGCTGGAAGCCATCCACGCCAGCCTGAAGCCAAAAATTCAGAGCATCCTACAGGGAGAGGGGAAAAAGAGCAAAGAAAAGATAGCAAGACCCATCAGAAACGCTCAGATCATGCTAAAACCGCCCACCACATACTTGCTCATGACCTGCGGAGCGCAGTCCTCTTTAGGGGGCTTCCTCTCCCCCCCGGCGAGGTCCCCGCCCATGCCCGCCTGTCCGTGGCTGCCTCAGTGCCACTGCATTTCACCTCTCTACTCCTCCCCAGGACAAACCACAGGTCTCAACATCCGCCGCCTACAGAAAAGGCCCAAGAGAACAGCTGTGTTCATAAAGATTACCTCCTGTAACATGTGTGTAAGCACATTTTTGAAATGAGGGGACAGTCTCTAAGAAGCAGGGAAGCGTGCCAAGACCACAGCAGAGATACGACCCCAAAGGCTCGTCCAGATCCCCAGGTCTGGGCTTCCTGGAGCCTGGGGGTGGTGTAAGCAGGAAAAACTAGCCAGAACAAGGCCTGGGATATTAAGAATGAGCTTCAAAGCATAGCCCCAGGCAGTTTACACAAGGACTCGAGAAGAGGAGCGGGACAGGCCTGGGCCTGCAGGTCTGGTGTGCTAGGGCCAAGAAGCACAAGCACCATGCCCCACTGCCTTTCTCTCCCTCCCCGCCCTGGTCTTCCGGCCTCTGCCTCTCTGTGTCTCTGCAAACACTCACACACGAGTCCTCATTGCACATCCAAGCTGGCCAAACCCAGCTAGCCCAACACACACCAGGGCCCCGCATGCAGGACCCTCTGTGAGAGCCAGCACCGGCCTCAGTTCCCTCAGCCCATCAAAGGAAGCCGTCGGAGGAGAAGGAATGTCATGTCCTCAGTTTGTGTGGACCACCTGCGGAGGCAGCGACTCCGTCCGCAAGACCCCACCCGCTGCGCCCACCCACATCTCCAGACCCCAGTATCAAAAGGACTAGCCCAGCCTCCCTGACTGCCCTCAGCAGACCCTGGCCCTCCCTGTTCCACATGCGCTCCCCTCGTGACTCCTTTGCCATCTGGGGCGACCACCCCTTATGCCAGGCCATCAGAAAACAATCCCTCATCAGCCATTTTAAAAATTCTCCCAGCAACTAGCGAGAACTGAAGTGGGGCACCCCAAGGGTACTGCCACTGCTGGGGGAACAGATTCTACTTCAGCATCATGGAAGAAAGCCAAGTGTCACAGCCTGGCCAGCTTCTGTTCTACCCCACCTGAAGTGGCCAGTACAGGCAACAGGAACTGGGGTGACATCTGAAGCCATCCCCTGGCCTGCTGAGTAGTCTGAGCCTGTTCCTCTAGGAAGGCAGCTAAGAGAAATAAGACTAAAGGGACTGCAAATCCCACATGAAGTAAGTCCCTCGAAACCTCGGTTTCCTCATTTACAGATTAGGGGAAATGACTGGCACCTTGTAAGGTTATACAGGGAGTTAGAAAACTTAAATAAAATGCACAGTCCAGCTGCAGACACACAGGGAGACCCCAATGCTTATAATCTCAAACTGGGCTCCATGCCAAAATACATTAAACAAGAACTGGGAAACCAGACAGGATAGGATTCCCACAGAGGAGGGGCTTCCTCTTCCAAACCCACAATCAAGGAAACATGAAAGGTGAGCAGTAAGGAAAGGCACAAATATAGGTGCCTCTCCTCCTGCCTGGGGAACGGCATGCCTGGAGTGGGCAAGGTTACCGGGCAGACTCCCACCTGCCCTGGGCACGGACACTCACCCTCATCTGGGCAGTCACTTCATTTTGCTCCTCAGGTTTGAACCACATGGCCTGGCCCCTGTAGTTGGGAGTGAGGTCCAGAACAACCCGGATGCCTAGAACAATGGAGGAAAAGGCAGTCTTGAGAAAGACCTTGGAATGAGGGGAGGAGGAAATCAACAAACACAAGCTTGCAAAGTATTTCCTATGTATAACTTGATACAAAAGCTTCAGATGTGAACCCTGGCCAAACCCTCCACTCTGAAACAGGTGTGAATAAGGAAACGCCTCAAGAGCCTAGTGGTCTAAGGGGAGGAATGGGGCCCTGGGCTCCCCACCCCCAAAGTGAACCATCTTAAACGTTTCTCTATTGAACTATAAGAGGAAAATTAAGCATTTTTTGGTCTCCAAAGGATCCACTCTTCTGAGTTCATCTTAGTAAAAGCCTATATTTTTAAAACCAAGGCACTGAAGCCCTGAAATTAAATGACCCACTCAAGATAACACAGTCAGGTAGCACATCTCAATTACTTGACAACCCACTTAGCACGACCCGCCTGCCCTAGCAACACTTAAGGTGGACAGGAATAAACCAGACAAAAACTCCCATCCTGCCTGCCCTCCCACCAGAAACCGACGCCCTTCCCGGTGCTTGCTTGACAACTCAGAGACACCCACTCTTTTTCTGTGACGACTGCAGGAAATTGTCAAAATCTTCCTTGGAACCAAGAGTGGGGTCGATCTTCTTCAAGTTGGTCCCAGACAGTTTATCGTCCTCGTTCTCGTGAATGGGGCCCAGCACGATGCCCTTCACCTTCAGCGTGCTCAGGTAATCGAGACGCCCCTTCAGGCCTGAAATAGGGTGGAAGTGGATTCCCTCTCGGAGGGACCTTCCCCCCCCCACATTGGACAAAATGGGGGTCGGGCGGTATCAGGGGACTCAAGGACAGCATCAGGGGACTCAAGGACAGCGGAAGCAAGGAACCTAGCACATTGCTTCCGAAGCCCCTGCGGCTGGCCCCATGCTGAGTCAGCTGCCCTCGTGAAAGGGAGTGGGAGTAGCTTTCTCTGAAGAAGGAAGGAAGGGCTCTCTGGGGGGAGGGGGGGGGGGGGGCCGGCTGCCGCCGGGGAGAACCACCTGATTACGGCGGGGAACAGGGTCGGCGAGAGCCCAGCCAAGCCGGGGCTGGCGGGGCGGGGCGGGGAGGGGGGCGTGCGCCGCGCTCACCCTGCAGGTTCCCGGCCTCGCCGCCCAGGAAGGCCCGGAGGTCGCCGATGCGGTAGAGGGCGCCCTTGTGCCACCAGCTCTGCGCCGGCAGCTCCCGGCAGCGCGGCGCCTGCACGATGATGACCACGGCGCCGGCCAGCATGCCGAGCCAGCCGAGCCAGAAGAGCAACAGCAGCGCCCAGCGCGTGCGCACCCAGCCAGGGCTGCCCGCCACCTTCAACAGCTCCTCTTTGGACAGCCCCGTGAACTTGGCCGCGGCCGCCACCTCGTCGTCATCCGCCACCTTGATCACCAGGCCGTTCTTCTCGGCGCCGCCCGCCACGGCCGCCCCCGACGCCGCGTTCATCGGCTGCTTCTCGGGCTCCATCTCGTTCAGCTCCACGTCCTTCAAGTCCCCCTCGGCGTCCTGGCTCATGGTGCCTGCGGAACCGGCGACTCGACACGCTCAGGAGGTGGCCGGACGCGCGCGCGCCCCCGCCGGCCAGAACTCTATGCCCGTCTGACGCGACCTGCTGGCGCCGCCAGGGGACAGCCCCTCCGCCCCGCCCCTGAGGCGGACCTCGGGGTGCGCCCCCCCTCCCCCGCCGCGCCGCGGGAGAAGGAGGCGGGTACAACCGGAATCTGTCCCAGACCGATGCGATCCAGCTCCTCACCTCGAACCTGTCCGCCCCTCAGGTTCCTTAGAGGAGGTAGGATGGGGGGGCAAGCCAGCCCTGGCGGGCGGGGTCCCTAGTCGGCCCGCCCTGCCCCCTCCCCCGTCGCCAGGAAGTGTGCACAAAGGGCAGTCCAGCACCCAGGGCCCCTCAGGCCACTTGGAAGCTGGTGACCCGCGCAGGCACTCTCCTCCAGCTGCCCTTGAGGCCCAGGGCTCGGGCCCCCGCCGGGTCTTCCCGCACTTGGATTCTCGGAGCCGGGACTCAACCACCGCCCTTTTCCCCACCCGGCAGGTCTTCTCAGGCCCCTGGGATGTGACGCTCCCACTCGTCCTTCTAGACTCATCTTGAATGCGTTCAGTTAATTCATCATGCAGCAACTATTTATTGAGCACCCACCACAGTCCTTCGCTTTATTAACTTTACTGAATTAACTGTAACCCAGTCTTATGTCATGTTGTAGGATGAATCTGAACGTGAGTAGAGGCTCCCCCTATCCTCACCCCCAGATTCTGGTGCTGCAATGTCCAGCGACTAGGAATCCTAAAACCAGGAGAGCCAGAGGGACGTGAGTAAAATCCCAGGCTGGGCCTCGGTGCCAGCCACCTTCTCCCCCTACTACATGTCAGGAGATGCCACTGCCAGGCTGCTCCTGGCCCTGAGATCATGCCAGTCTCCCCAGGGTTCCCTGTCCACAGGCTCACTTCACTACTTATGCTTTGGGGGCAGCCAGTACTTCAGAGGCATGAATGCCACTCAACTTCTCTCCATGGAGGCCCCTAGATTAAGGGTAAGTGAGGGAGAGACAGACTTCAGAGCAGGATCTGCTGGACATCAACTCAGGAGGTGCCAGCACCTTCAGGAACTTCTTGTTCCTAAGCAGTGCCAGCTGGGTTATTTTCAGAGAGGAGCTAAAGGAAACAAATTCTCTCTCCCTCTCTCACCTGGGCTGGATGCCAGGGTGGCTGTGTATTTGGAAGAAAGCAGAAGCCCAGATCTGATGAAATAGCAGGTGGAAAAGGGTGCCAAAAGAGAGCCATAGGTGTGAAAGGCCCATCCTCCACCATTTCCCCTTCAGCACCCCAAAGCCCACCCCCACCCCCACCCAGGGAGAGTCAAACCAATTCCTAGAGAGAGGCAGCCAGTGGGTAGAGGCTGGCCTTCGGAGCAGGACTCAGAGATGATAAGCAGTCCAAGGTGCCCTGGGTAGGGCAGATAAGTGCCAGCCACAGGCTCAGCAGACTCTGTCCCAGCTCAAGGTCGAGAACTGTGCAGTCATAAGCACTGCTAGAGATCTAACACCTCCAGGGGCATAGTATCTCACTCGGCCCCAGGGCTTCAGAGAGATAACGTCCTCTCCTCCCTCATGCAGCACAGGGGCACAGCAGACCTCCCCCTATCAGCCCCAAGCCTTCATGAAATGCCCCTCAGCCACACCAGCCTTCAGACCCATCAGGTTTGGTCAAGCTTCTGCACCTTTGTACGCACATCTATTTCCCGTTCTGCCACACTGCCTCATAAGCGCCTATGCATTCAAGACCTAGTTCAAATGACAGCTTTTCCCAAGCACCAGCCTCTGCCACAACTCATATCCCTTTTATTTTATCTCCTGGTCTGAGCATCTGTTTGCACTCAGGGGCTTGCACTTGGTGCATGGACTTGCCTGTCCCCAGGAGGCAGAGGTGGGGCTTCTGAAGCGGCATGTGAATGAGTGGGAACCATGTGGATCAAAATGAGTGCTTTCCTCCTAGCCACAAGAAGCAGCATATGAAGATAAAGGGATAAAAAAAGGAAAAGGAATTTAAACATTGTTTCATAGAAGATGGAATTCTTTATGCAGGAAAGCCAGTCAAGAATTGTACTTATAAAAAAAAAAAAAGGGCCCTCCCTGGTGGCACAGAGGGCGCAGCAGACCTCTCCTGTCTTGCCCGCTGCTCCCCTCAGCAGTGTGCTTCATCGATCTGCCTGTTCTGCTCCCCACTCTGACTGGTGAATCCTCTCACCACCCCTGCACCTCTGGCCTATACCCCAGTTCTGTATGCATAAGTAAATCTTTAAAAAATAAAAACAGAAAAAGCAGGCCCTAAACGGGGTGAGGCGGGGCACCAGAAATAATACCTACTGCAGTTTCAATCTCTCCCCAAAGTGTGATCCTGAACCAATCTGGAGTTTCTTAGCCAGCAACAGCCAGGTCATCTGTATAAGACCCCTCTGTTTCCCCCTGAGGGAAGATGCTTTACCTGAATAATCTGCTCCTTCGTTTAAAACTTTGTGACCTCTCCTTCTGTCTATAAACACCCTCCGTAGGCCCTTGTAGCCCTTCGAAGGGCTGCTGTCCAATTGGTGAATCATTTTCTGCATTCAATTTGATCTCTAAAATGATGAATCTTGGTTTTTCTTAAAAATTTACTTTTATTGATATACGCATACAAGAACTGAGGTGCAGGGGGGTAAGGGGTGTGTGTGTGAGGTTTCACCAGAGACAGAGTAGGGAGCAGAACAGGTAGAGCTACTGAAATATACCGCTGAGGGGAGCGGCATGCAAGACAGGAAGTGCCTGTGGTGCCATGCCCTGGTGAATTTTGTTTTTTTACAAACTCTTCAACCACAATAAAACAAAGTAATAAATCCGGGAGAAGAGGGGGCAGAGAAAGATGGCAGAGGCAGCTGGAGAGCCTTTGATCCTACCCTGTACCTTGATAAATATAAGTCTCACTATTTACTATAAGAATACAAGGTATCTCACTTGTCAAGGAGAAAAATAACACTCAGTTGTTTTTGCTCCTATACAAGAAGATTTTTGTTGTTACCATCAAGGAAGACAGGGGGCCCTTCCTGGTGACGCAAAGGGTTAAAGCACTGCACTGTGAAGCTCTCCACAGCCACTGCAGCTTGAGTTTGATCCCTGGCCAGGGAGTGACCCACATAGTGAGCAGACCTCCCATGTCTCCCCACTGTTCCCCTCAGCAGTGTGTTTCAGTAGATCTGCCTGTTCTGCTCCCCACTCTGTCTCTGGTAGATCCTCTCACCCTCTGACTTATACCCTGGTTCTTGCATGCATAAATAAAAATATCTTTAAAAAAAAAAAAAAGGAAGGCAAGAAAGGGCACCCATGTGCCCATGATGTCCCCAGGTGGCTGGTGAGATGTATTCATGAAAGAGTTGGTGAATCACTAAGTATCTCTGAGTGAAACAAATAAAAAGTTGAATTAAAATAAAAGATTTCAGAAGCTTCATTTCCACCCCTTTCATTAGGAAGGGAAGACAGGTTTTCAAGCCAAAATCAATACCTTTTATACAGTCTAATCTACCCAAGATGAAAAGGACATCCCATAACCCATTTTAAGTAGACACAAAGAAAGCTCAAGAAAAACTGCTTTGGTTCAGTGATTTGCTTAAGGAAAGACTTTTTATTTTTAACTAAAAAGAAAAAAAAAATCTCCTGTACAGCTGGCCAAGGTAATTGATGTTTTCTTAGAGACTCTCAGGAAGAATTTAGTCTTCAAGAGCAGGCTGGGACAAAGCAAAGAAAGAAAGCAGTTCAACACTCCAGAGACCAGCAAGACTCACGTGAGGGCCTGAGTCTTCAAAACTGAACACTCAGGCAGCGAGCTGGGTCAAGTGTCAAAGAAGATTCCTTTCCATACCGTCGCAAAAATACATCTCACATGTTTCCCAACAACTGAGGATTACATTATCTCAGCCAAAGACAGGACGTTATTTTTCCCCCCAGAGTGTAAAAAAAAAAAAAAGGATTTGCAAAGACAGAGCAAGCAAACATGGGAGGTAGTTAGAAACTCATCAGCCCGCTGTCTGTCCAGCAGACTGTAACCCGGCCAAAGCCTAGGCTTTTCCAAGAACCCAGAAACAAAGTATCCGGGCACTGCCTGGAATCGCTCTTGAGGAGTGTAGCCATCTGAAAAGTGGATAATGGCTGAAATTAGGAACGAGCATTGGGGAGTCAAGGAGCTGAGATGAAAGCAGCGCCCATACAGTGAAATGCCAAGAGTCCACATGTGAACTTACATCTACTCCAAAAGGGATCATAATTCCACTTTAGCAATACTGCACTATCCGTTTTGTGGGATGGGTGAATCAAATCTGTTTAATCTCTCTGTTGCAAGAATCCACTTGATAAAGTATCCTCAGGTAGAGGGCTTATTAGTCGCCAAATGGTGAAAACAGATAGTGTCCTTTATCTTGAGCCAAAAGCCAAAGGAACTTACAAGTGACATGCCCATCAGACCACAAGCTATTCCTTTAAAATTCCTCATCTTCGGGCCCTCCCTTGTGGCGCAGCGGGTTAAAGCACTGCACTAAGAAGCTTAAGCCACCTCCACATGAGTTCGATCCCTGCCTGCCTCGGAGGTGACCACATGGCGTGGCAGACCTCTCCTGACCCGCCCGCTGCTCCCCTCAGCAGTGTACTTCGTCAATCTGCCTGTTCTGCTCCCCACACTGTCTCTGGTGAATCCTCTCACCCTCCAGCATCTCTGGCCTGTACCCCAGCTCTGTATGAATAAATAAATCTTTAAAAAAAAAATTCTCATCTTCAACTCCCTTTAAGTCTAATCCTTTCCTGGGAAAGCTTTCCTGGAAAGCTTCCCAGTGGCACATCCCTCCACAGTTACGGAAAATCTGTTCTCAAATTGAATTTCTGCCTCCTAGGTGAACGTCATTCCCCAGCTCCCAGAGACACCCAGCGCTGTTCGTTCGCAGGTTCTAGCTCCTCCACGAGGAGCGCAGTGCCTCTCGCTGCCAGGAGGCGGCAGAGCTACGCTGTGAGCAAAACGCCGGAGAGTAGCGTGCATTCTGGGAGAGGCGCAGTTCACTTAATGTCTTGCCTCAGCATCTGCAGGCAATCGATGAATAGCGTCTCGTGCATGGTGAAGGTAAAATAATCAAATGCACAAATTTCTGACCTCGGAGAGTTTCGGCAAGAAAGAGATCAAATAGAGCAAGTCACCCTTATCAGAGAAGCCCTCTGTCTAGTGAAATGGTATTTCTTCCCATTAGGTCCCTTCCTTTTCGCTTCCCCCGTTTCATGTCTATCATAGAATGCATCTCTGCCCTGTCTGTGTCTATGAAGAGGCACTTCTTTTTTCCTTTCTCCTTTTCTCACTAGACCCTGCCTTTTAAAATATATTTAATTCTACCATTGTAGTCAACACCACTTGACATATTATTTGTTTTGCCTCTCCACAGAATATAAGTTCCAAGGGAGCAAAGGAGGGCTTCTGCTTTGTCCCTATTAAATCTCCTGTGCCTAGCAGATGCTCAAGCATCAGTGGAATCGATGTTAAAAGAAGGTCACCCATGACTTCCTACTGCCAAGACTTTTTTTCTTTATTCCATTCAATTCCTTTTTAGCTCCCAAAATGGAAATGTCCACAGGAAATTTCCTTTCCTAGGTCACTATACAAAGGGTCACAAACTCAGTCCTGGGCCACTTTTAGCCCACAGGTATATTTTGATGAGCCCACAGAAGGCACTTAAAATCTTTATGTTAGATGACAACATTTTGGCCCTCCCTGGTGGCGCAGCGGGTTAAAGCACTACACTGGGAAGCTAGGGCCACTTCCACATGAGTTCGATCCCCGCCTGCCCCGGAGGCGACCACATGGCGTGGCAGACCTCTCCTGGCCCGCCCGCTGCTCCCCTCAGCAGTGTACTTC